AATAGATTTCCATCTTTAAGTAGCACGTGTTGGGATTCCAGACCAGAACAGGCCTCCATCACCGAATCCCTGTCAACTCGGATGGGGATCCGATAGACATCATGGCATTGTTGATTTGTGTCACACTGACTTGATGGCATGACCTGTTGATATTTCTTTTCATCGCAGGTTTGCCTGGTCCAGACTCGATTATTTGCAAGTCAGGGGGATATAGCTAGAATATTGCTGGCTGTGGCATTAAAAACAATCGCAAGCTCCCGTTTACCTGGGCCGCACATGGATAGCTTTGCTTTACAAGATTCTGCGTCCTCGCGTCAATGTTCGCAACTTAAGTTTCTTCTTTTTTTGTTAAAAAAATGTGGATTTAAAGTTGAAATGTCATTTGTAGACTGTTAAAAGAAGGCAAATATTGATGGCACATCCATGGTTTAAAAAGGTTTACCATAGCTGCGTCCCTTAGGCGTGCAAGAAACCTTTGTTCGAATCCCTGTTCATCTGATTATGTTTCTAGGTTTGTCACCACCGTACCCATGCTGGATTTAATAAAATTGTAAACATTTAACACTTCCATGACCTCGGTAGTATTCCCCATATGCTGACCGCATGAACCACTGTAATACAGTAAACTACGGTTATAACGAACACGCTTATAACGAACTGACTGATATAACGATTTTTTAGTCCCGGCCTTTTGTTGTATAAATGCTATATATCTGCCTGTAACGAACTACGGTTATAACGAACTAAAATTAGTGGTCCCTTTGAGTTCGTTATAACCGTAGTTTACTGTACTATCCAAGGCGGCGTTAAACCCACTCACTCACTCACTCACCCATTGTAAGACAAACCCTATGTGGCATCACAGGGCCATCGCAAGGACCTTGTGTCGATGGTAAGAACGTGAACCCAATGTGAGACATCAGGTCCACCAGTCGTCACCACTCGCCCCTTTCGTTAACCTGCAAGAAGACTCATCCCCCTATCGATGAATGTTATGCCCGAAAATACGACAAACCAATCAGAATGCGCGTATGATTTCAAGTTCTTCGTCAAAGAATCCCTCAGAAATAATTTTTGATTTTACGTATGTCTTGCATCTAAAAATATACCCAACGCACAGTTAAATGTGTTCAATCATACTGTATAATTCCGCATGTCCCGGTGTGCTTTAAATTGCATCTGAAATATATATAATATATGGGGAAATATATGTGAACCATAACGCGACGAGTTGACAATTATTTTAGGTTTGCCCGTTTGCGCTAAGACGGAACCCGGTCGCAAAAATGGCCATGAGAGGGGCACGAGTCGCTATTCGGCTTGTCCCGGAATAACACGCACGAGTTGGTCACGAATGCAGGTCCACATATACCGGCAACTTTTAAAATCGTTTTCTTGTTTTCAAAGTCATCATTGAATGAGCCATTTAAGAGTTCACCATATATACAACTGGCTAGCTAGTTAATAAGAAAGTTAAATTTAATGGTTCTAGCAATCCAGTACCATAACTGCCGAATACCTGCATTTAATTTTTTTTTAAAACAACGGTATAGATTTTAACAAGTAAAAGTCTAGCTATCTTGTAAAATAGTTCATAGACTATGTTTTGGCCTTTTGATCTAGCTGTGTCCATCTCCATAATTATGACCACCGCAACCCTGATTTAGAAGGAAAAATCTAAAGACCATATTTTTGAATAAACACCCGATGGATGATTGTTTGGTTTAGACGAGTATATTCCACGAAAGTGATATGTTTGTAATTAGTTATTGTAAGTCTTGGTAAGTATCGTTGTACACACATCGTCTCCTGTTCCCGACGCCTGACATGGAGACACCATACGCCACAGATACAGGCGAGATAATTACTGGTCATTTATCGAGAGTGACGGTTTGTTAGTAAGACGAGATACCCCCCTACACTTCCCATATTTGTATTGCGATAAAGTCAAGTACCCATAGTCGTAGAGTTGAGAAGCTGACACCGTGGTTTGCCCTCGCCTGACAACTCTCTCACCTCGTAAACATAATGTTATCGCCCATTTGTAACCATTTATTTGTTTACACAAGGGTCGGCCAATTGTTCCCTAGGGGGTGGTCGTTTTCCTCAGCTGCAGGTTCCTGATTCTCCCCCAGTCAACGATATTGATGACTGTTTAATAGCCTTGGAAGTGGCAGGGTGATTAGAGAAAGATACTTTGTTTAACAAATTTATTTGAACAGGTCATTCCATGGCGTTTGGTATATGTCAAGAGTTAATGTATTTAGTAGGATGTATCTCGGAGTGGATAATGTCGGTCGGAGTGGCGTGTGTATGTGGTTCGCGATACTGTGCAGCTGAGATTCCTTTCGTTTTACACGTTTGATAAAATTGACTATGAATAGAACACAAGTGTAACCAGAATCAAGAACTGCCAAGCTGTCTGTGCTTAAAAATTGCACGAGCTATTTTACATGGTCCTTTGTAGAACAGTGCGCTGGGTAAACGTCATTGCCTCTACAATACGTCAAGGGCGCAGGACATCTGTCATTGCCTCTACAGTACGTCAAGGGCGCAGGACATCTGTCATTGCCTCTACAGTACGTCAAGGGCGCAGGACATCTGTCATTGCCTCTACAGTATGGCATGGGCGCAGGACATCTGTCATTGCCTCTACAGTACGTTAAGGGCGCAGGACATCTGTCATTGCCTCTACAGTACGTCAAGGGCGCAGGACATCTGTCATTGCCTCTACAGTACGTCAAGGGCGCAGGACATCTGTCCTTGCCTCTACAGTACGCCAAGGGCGCAGGACATCTATCGACTGCCTCTACAGTACGTCGGCGCAGGACATCTGTCATTGCCTCTACAGTACGTCAAGGGCGCAGGACATCTGTCATTGCCTCTACAGTACGTCAAGGGCGCAGGACATCTGTCATTGCCTCTACAGTACGTCAAGGGCGCAGGACATCTGTCATTGCCTCGAGAGTGCGTCAAGGGCGCACGGCATGTGTCATTGCCTCGACAGTACCTCAGTGATGAGGGGTACGTCATATCCTCGATACAAGGGCGCAGGGTATGTACGTCACGAAAAACGCAGTCCAGGTCGGGACATTTTCTGGACCAGTGTGAAAGATTAACTGATGAAAGATTAATCTCGAAATTTATGCTTTGGTGTATTGAAAATGGTTTGAACTTCACTTCTTCATTTGTTTTAAACTTTAACAGGTAATCTGTTGATGTCCAGGAGAAGTCTCATGTTTCGCTTAGTGTCTTCTTGGTATCATTGAACCCCATATATTAGTTATGGGTCCAAAAAGTGTTAATGCTTGTGCGTTATCCTTACGGCGAGGGCGATACACGAGGTGAGGTGAAATGGGGTTTAACGTCGCGTCCAAGATTATTGCACTTATAAGGCGACGTGCATGTACTGTGTGTGTGTGTGTGGCTGCTTGTACTAGTCTGGACTGATGCCGATTTATAGTGCTAGCTCACTGAGATACCATGCCGCAGTTTAACATGAATACCCCACTCAGACACAGTATACTGACTCCGAGCCGACCAGTCCTTGTTTTAGCTCCTTAATGCCGAGCGCCAGACAGGGTAACAACAAGTACCATCTTTTAACGTCTTTAGGTATGACGCGGCCGGGGATCGAACCCCGGACCTTCCGCTCTCCGGGCGGACGCTCTACCACTAGACCACGGAGGCGGTCTCGATAGACGAGAATTATTAAGATAATTCGAGTTCTTCCCACGCATTAACATACTATTCACTCACTCAGTAAACGCTTTATTCAATTAGATTGTTTGATTTGTTGAAACATTTTCTTTTGGTTTAGCTCGAGGTGAAAACTGTGAGAAGATACCGTGCGTTCACAAACAGGCACCCCAAAAGAACCATTGGAATAGATGTTATCGCGTAATGAATCAGTCTTCGTGACAAAGACGCCGAAGACCCGGGTTCGATTCCCGACATGGGTACAATGTGTGAAGCCCATTTCTGGTGTCCCTCGCCGTGATATTGCTCGAATATTGCCAAAAGCGGCGTAAAACCATACTCACTCATGACAAATGTCGCAGCTCATAGAAAGCCGGGAACCAGTCTGGACAATAGGAGTGCTGCGCGGGACACGTGCGCTACGTTCTACGAAATGAACGGTACTTTGAGCAAATCTTGGGTTATTTAGTGTACACACAAATATATAACGGTACAACGTTCAGTGGCGCCTCAAAGGTGAGTGTGTCCTGTAAACGCCAGTGCAAGATAAAAATTTGGTCTTGCGCAGTTGACATGAAAACGAAAGAAACTCAAGCTTCATGAACACTTATTTCATCTTACGACAGTGTCAGAGAATTAATCTCTTTTTTTTAAGAGCCTCTTCGAAATGAAGGCACTTAGTCCGACTCGATGTCAGGAAGTCGTATCTCCCTTAGTTACAGTATAATTGATTTGGGCATATCTTTGCCAACATGCTTGCCTTTTACCATTACGTGTATTCGAGAAGGATCGTAACTTCCGCAGCCAAAACTTAGAACCGCATCCCGATGCCTTTGCGTATGGGAATATATTTAACCAATCAACATCACAAGATTGTGTAACTTGGTATCTTAGTTGTGCCGACTTCAGCAACCCATGCTTGCCGTAAACGACGACTGTCGTAAGAGACGACTAATGGGATCGGGTGGTCAGGTTCGCTGACTTGGTTGATCATCGTACCCCAATTGCGCGGATCGATGCTTATGATGTCAGTCACTGGATTGTCTGGTCCAGACTCGATTATTTACAGACCGCCGTCATATAGCTGGAATATTGCTGAGTGCGGCGTTAAACAACGAACAAATTGGGCCGGCGTACTCTAAATATGTAGGGGCGGTCGGGTAGCCTAGTGGTTAAAGCGTTCGCTCGTCACGCCGAGGCCCGGGTTCGATTCCCGACATGGGTACAATTTGTGAAGCCCATTTCTAAATATGTATTTGGTGCTTGTGCAGCAAGGCAACAATTAACAATGAATTCCATATTCAATAATTTATTTACAAGAACATATTTATGAACATCGACTGTATTTACAAATATATATACAACTGTCGATCTGAATGTGATTGCCTACGTGTATTTGTGCTTCAAAAACATTTCGCATGTAGACAATCACACCAGCATAAAAATCTATACCGGACTCCCATACCTTAAACTTTCACAAAAAGCTTTGACACAATAAAATTCAGATAAATACTAACAGCAACATATAGATGGTTTTAGAGGATAGATTCGTTGCAACTTATGTAACAGGATAATTGACAGAAAATATCGAAATAGAAAGTTACTATCGTCGAAAGTTTTCATATTGCGTAAGTGACGTTTGTGTCTTCATGTATTGATACTCGTCCTCTATGGTGCTTTATGCACAGCCATATATCACAGTTTGCATGTAACGCACGTGCAGCACGCAATCTGCCTGCAGAAGGTTACTGGGGTTATAAATATGCTCCACGTGATCAGGGGACGATCGCTCATTGGACAAGGTCTCAATCTGTGCTCTTCTCCTCGACAATGCCACGAGTTGAGATGGCTGGATGTGCACACACACACTGTTGTGAGACCGTCTCAGTTGGCACTCTCTTCCTGGCTCACCATGGAACACGGTACATCTGTTTCCTCTACCCCACTGTCTATTGAAATCTCCTCCTCTTTGTCACACTCGTCACTTTCCTCTTCGGAGTCAGCCTCGATATCAACCTTGTCTAGTGCCCTTTCCTCGCCTTCCTTACTTCCGGTCTCGCCATCTGGCGAACCCTCGTCGTCTTTAGCTTTCTGTTGCTGCGCATGACGCCACTTCATCCGTCTGTTTTGGAACCACACTTTCACCTGAAGTTAAACAAATTAATTTTATTGGGCGTATAGTTCTCCACGATCTCAGCGGCAGTTTTGTTTATGTCTTACTTTCACATCACGAGGCCACCTAATTTCTCTCCTTTCTATCTGGGTGCTGTCGAGTAGCACAGCGGTTAAAGTGTTGGCTCGTTACGCCAAATCACTGGTTCGATTCCCTATATGTACAAAATTTGTTCTGTCAATTTCTTGCGTCGCCGTTATATCTTCCGCTATAGGGGCGGTCGGGTAGCCTAGTGGTTAAAGCGTTCGCTCGTCACGCCGAAGACCCGGGTTCGATTCCCGACATGGGTACAATGTGTGAAGCCCATTTCTGGTGTCCCCCGCCGTGATATTGCTGGAATATTGCTAAAAGCGGCGTAAAACCATACTCACTCACTCACTCACTCACTCTTCCGCTATATGGCTCGACCGTTGAATATTAGTCTCGACTGATTCTATCCTCGCTATTGTTGGGTCAGCGTCAGCTTACTTCCAAATACATACAGACCTTTAGACGTTTAGGATAATTGTAGTCCTTCATTATTTAATTCTCAAAACCCATCACGAATATGTCTGCGGCTTGTTTCATTGGTTGCAGGCTTTTATCGTAAATAGGGACATGCGCATGCGTCACCGCCTCGCGGAAGGTGTGAGAATATGTGCAAGTTTGTAAACCGCACATGCGCTCCGCCGAGGTGGATGATCTGTGCATGGTCAGACATGGCGTTCGTGTTTATCGTTTCTCTAATTTTATTCGGTTAAATTATTTAATCTTTTCATTTAAGAATTTTTTTTATAAAGTATCCATGGTCTCTATCAACGTCTGCCAGCCGATTTTAAGCAAACACTTTGAAGAGTGAGGTTTATTCTGACGTTTCAAGTTAAAATTGAGAATAAACTTTTGTGGGTGATGTCGGCATCGGCCTTTGATGTTTTGCCCCCCACGTAGAAGGGGAAGCATTTGGTAGACATGTGAGAGTGGAACTGTAGATTTTGCAGGAAATGCGTTTGCTTTTTGCATGTACAGTATTGCCTCTTGTGATAAATGTCTATTGAGTGCAGTAAATAAGAGGTAGGTGAGAAATGAGTGGCTATCTGTGTATAGGAGGCGGCCGGCAATTGCCTCCCTGCAGGAGATAGACGATTAGTGTTCGGCGCATCAACATGAAGCGCACTGTTACTAAGCCTAAACGGCCACAGATGGAACAGCTTCCAGAAAGCCATTATCGGCAAACGGGAGTGTGGTGTTTAAGCATTGGTATTAAATTATACTATACGGTATCAGATCACTTTTTATTTTAACAAATTGATATGTTTATTTTTCAAAATTATAATTTTGGTAATATAAGCATCCTTAAACTGTTATTTTGAGGATATATGGTGGTCGAACACGACTGACATGTCCATTGCATATACATGTAACTGATACAAATTTTGTACATGGCAACGGTTTCAGTAATCAAGAAACAAGAAAAATAATTGATATTTTAGTCTCATGTCATTTTTTTTAAAAAGGTAAATCAGCATTGGCTTTATTTGGCTTGTACATTTTTGTCTTATCTTAACTGGACTGGAAGTTAATCGGGAGAATGACGTGTTTACATGTAGTATCTAAAACTATTTGTGATTTTTTTTACCCTCGTTTTATTAGGGAATCACAAACTATTTCCCACACCGGGTGCGTAAATCAATAGGTTTGGGTAATAAAACAAACGGACAAGTCTTGCTCCTAGATGTTTTGTATACAGTCGGTAGTTTTAACGAGGCTGTTAAAATGGTAAAGCTGACATGTCTTACGTATTGCGATGTTGACGCCCAAATTGAAATACACATCACGCCGTAATCGGTTTATTATCTTTTCTGCCTGCATATTTGAGTCCAATCTTGACAAAGATAGTTTTCCTTATCGGCCAACTATAAATTTTATTTTATTTTCGGTACTGCCCGTACAACATTTGAATTGCAAAACGGAGGTATTACGTATAAAGTGATTAAACATTCATGGCAAGTGCCGTTATTTATGAGCATCTCATGACAATCTCCGCTAGCTGTCGCTCTTCGTGTAAATAAGTAGTCCACTACCTCGAAGCCCGTCTTGCACGTACGTGCGGCCGACGAGTGCGTAACCTCCGCCTGCCACGGCGACGGAAAGATACGATAACGCCGAATGTCAGCAGGTCGGAGTGCTGATCACTTCAATTAAAGTGCCAGCTCCACCGACGTGAGCTGCTTATATTAATATACGACATCCACTCTTGTAGAAATCCCATTCAATTAATGAGGGTGTTCTTGTACGCTTGCAGCTAGACCCTTCACATAAAATACTGTGGAAAATGTTGCAGTCGAGATCCTGGTGTGCCCTATTTAATCAAAATGTTATTTTTTATTGCCGCTTCTGCCCCCTCCCTCCCGCAATGAGCTGTCAGCGCGTGCCCTCCCTTGCCTCCCGCGTCCATTTCACTCACTCTACCACTACCCAGACACCAATATTCCTCGGCAGTCGTGGGGGGTTCTGCGTCCGAGAGTCGTGGCATGTAATTAAACTTTATCAAATTGGAATTGGTTTAATGACTTATGTTTTTTGCATGTCTGTTATATGTCTGTTGAAACACAAGCGGTTTGGGTCCTACTTTAGCCATTACCAATAACAGTATCCTGTTAAAGTTTATATCCAGTTAATTGAACATCCCCACTATCCTATTGAGAATCTGAGTAGCGTAATGAAAGTCATTATGTTGTTAGTTAAAGAAAGATACTTTGATAGGGACCAGCAATTACCAGACCTGTCAAAATCTGTTAGAAACTGTTATCGTGAGAATGAATGCGTCACGGTTTAAATGGATTGCAAGTCATTTCGCCAACTAACACCCTCTGCTTTATATGTGAGTTTGGTACATGTTTGAGTATCGAGCCTCACCTTCCGACCCATTAAGTCATCTCGTGAATTGTCTTCGGGTGGGGGTGGCCCAGTCGTCTAAGGCGCCGCGATTCGTTGTGCGGAGTTGCGTCCCTTGGGTACGCCAGAAACCTATGGTTGTGGGTTCGAATCCCGGTTCGCCCCGATTATGTTTCTAGGTTTGTAAGCACCATACCCGTGCTCGTGGGTTTCACCGAAAAGGTAAACGTTTGAGACCTGTATCACTTCGGGCTTTCCTCCCACATTAAGCTGGCACGCCGTGATATAACTGGAATACTGTTAAAAGCGGCGTTAAACCCAACTCACTCACTCACTCACTCATGTATTGTCTTCAGTGATGTTTTTGTCACTTTCTTTTTCTAGCTTGATTTACCTGTGCATCCGTTAACCCCAACATGGCGGCCAACTGTCGTCTGTCAGGCTTCGTCACATACTTCTGCACCTCAAACCTCTTCTCCAAGCCCTTCCTCTGGAGGTTGGAGAAGACAGCACGTGACCAAGATCTCTTCCTCTTGGGTTGCCCGGATGTCCCATTGTCTGCACTGAGGATCGAATACGGCCCTGTTCAAGAAATGTCGGAAAGAAAGAAGTTATCCCATCCAAAACAACTATGAATTATTCAGGTTACCTGCTATCGTGTAAACATATCAGCTACTGACTGACTGAGTATGGTTTTACGCCGCTTTTAGCAATATTCCAGCAATATCACGGCGGGGGACACCAGAAATGGGCTTCACACATTGTACCCATGTCGGGAATCGAACCCGGTTCTTCGGCGTGAGGAGCGAACGCTTTAACCACTAGGCTACCCGACCGCCCTATCAGCTACTGAAGCAAAGTGTATCTGTGTGTTTAAATGTCATAACACAGATATACCTAGAGTTATGTTGGTGCGTTTCTATCAATATAACATTGACGGCATTCAACTTTATCGTTTGATAAACAACAACCTCTAAAAGTAACGCCATTACCTGTTGAGAAAACCAAACGATTTGTGATACGATACTAAAGAGTCGACCATTTAAAAATATTGAATATGTTCCTTTGTAGATCTAATGGTACTAGGGGCGGTCGGGTAGCCTAGTGGTTAAAGCGTTCGCTCGTCACGCCGAAGACCCGGGTTCGATTCCCACATGGGTACAATGTGTGAAGCCCATTTCTGGTGTCCCCCGCCGTGATACTGCTCGAATATTGCTAAAAGCGGCGTAAAATCAAACTCACTCACTCACTCCAATGGTACTATAAAATGTCGTCACGATATGGCTGAAATATCGCCGAAGTGACCTTAAACATAAACTCACTCACTCACTAAAAAAATCGACTACAATTTCAGAACCGCCGTCATACAGCTGGAATATCGCTGAGTGCGGCGTTAAACAACAAACAAACAATTCAGAAAACACAGGGTCCAACCACTTCAACTATTTTCGACATTAACTATGTCCTTGATATAATTTCAGGCCCGTGAAAACCTGTCGCCCTACGAGGACCTGGGTTTGTGACGAGAACAGAAGATACATCTTGTCAAATTGATTTTGAAGTAATTACGACATCATGTGTCAACGGTTTACGGTAAAATAAACAAAAGTTGATCGAGCGCCTTTCTACCCTCTTGTGCCTTACTCGCTCGTGTATATTGTTTTCCCTGTAGCTGTATACATGTCATAGCTACCAGCGATTAATCTATTTCACTGCAGGCATCAACTGACGTGCAATTCACCATAGTGTCTCCGGACCAGCTACGACCATTCGCAAACATGCGCAGTTTATTTAGTTTAATTACGCCACCTATCGAATGGTAATTAAGACAGGCCCCCCTGCGAAGGAGGCGGAGTGATACATCTGCCACACGGTGTGAAGCGGTAACGGACATCTTTAACAGGTTAGTTGATGGGTGTAGTGTGTCGTAATCGCGATATTTGAGTAGTTGTTAATACATAAAGATTGATGAATAAATTGTATCAAAAATATTTTGTCTTTGTAATTATTTGTCACGAATAACAAATGGAGTTATTCGTAAAAGATGTCACGGTGAACCAAACGACCGATAATTCTTGAAGGTAGAACGAGGTATGTGAGGCTGGGTTTTTCCCAAAGATTATCTGAACGAAAAGAACTGACTTTTAAAATTGAGTAAAACACGGAAAGTGTCATGTGTACTGATTTGAAAAAAATAACCCATGTTGGAAACCGTTCGTCACCACTCGCCTCTTTCCGTAACCTGCAAGAAGACTCGTCCCGCTATCGGTGAATGTTATGTGCGAAATTACGACAAACCAATCCGAATGCGGGTATGATTTCAAGTTCTTCGTCAAAGAATCCCTCAGAAATATTTTTTGATTTTACATATGTCTTGCATCTAAAACTATACCCAAGGCACAGTTAAATGTGTTCAATCATATTGTATAATTCCGCATGTCCCGATGTGCTTTAAATTGCATCTGAAATATATATAATATATGGGAAAATACATGTGAACCATAACGCGACGAGTTGACAATTATTTTAGGTATGCCCGTTTGCGTGAAGACGGAATCCGGTCGCAAAAATGGCCATGAGAGGGGCACGAGTCGCATTCGGTTTGTCCCGGAATAACACGAGTTGGTCACGAATGGTTGGAAACAAAACACTATCCTGTTCTATCGGACCTACAACACATGATTCATATGTATTGTAGGTAGTGTATGTAAAATGGCAACTGTTGGTCATGTGACACGGATTCGAACTTTTTCCCAGTCTGGATGAAACTAGCAACGCGCATATGGGTCTTGTATAAAGCCACGACACGCTGCTTCTTAACCAATCATCCTTTAATTCGTGTCAGATTGACGCTACTGACACTGATCCGAACCAGAAAATGTCACACAGTTTGAATAAACATGGTCAGAATAAACATAGGAAGTGATGCAGGTCTCAGACGTGTACCAGTTTTGTGAAACCCACGAGCGCGGGTATGGTGCTAGCAAACCTAGAATATAATCAAACCCACAATCCTGGGTTTCTGTACAGAACGAATTGCGGCGCCTAATGGGACTGGGCCACCCGTGCCCCTGACTTGGTGGATTGAGTGATGACTTCGTTGATAGCGTGACAGTATACCCCAACGGCGTGGGATGTTGCTCATAATATCAATCACTTGTCTGGACTCGATTATTTACTTGCTGGAAAATTGCGAATGCGGCGTTAAATAACATTCACTCGTTCCTGTAGGATACTGTTAGGATCAGGTCCCCAACCTACCACGAGGGGTGGATGGTTACCACGAGTCACCTGGCTAAATGTGAGTCATCGTACACCGATAGAGGTCATCCATGCTCATGCTGTCAACCCCTGGGTGTCTAGTCAAGGCTTTATTTACAGGGCGGCGTGATACAGCGGTAATATTGTTGACGGTGCCTTAAAACAACATTCACTCCCTCGCTTGTTTTTTGGGTGAAGTCATTTAGACAGACACAAAACAAAGTCAGACGTCAGCAGTACTTAATCACAACTGGAACCATAGGTGAGGTTGTGAGCTGTAATATTGTCAACGTGGTTGATATCAACAAGTAGTCGTGGTTGACATTCTTGAAGCGATTACAGAATATGAACGCACTTCCTAACATTCTTGCATCCAAAACAGAATAGCAACACACTTCCTGACATTCTTGAAGCCAATACAGAATAACGCACTACCTGACATTATTGAAGCCAGTTCAGAATAACAACGCACTACCTGACATTATTGAAGCCAATACAGAATAACAACGCACTACCTGACATTATTGAAGCCAGTTCAGAATAACAACGCACTACCTGACATTATTGAAGCCAGTACAGAATAACAACGCACTACCTGACATTCTTGAAGCCAATAGAGAATAACAACACACTACCGGACATCCTTGAAGCCAATACCGAATAACGCACTACCTGACATTATTGAAGCCAGTACAGAACAACAACGCACTACCTGACATTATTGAAGTCAATACAGAATAACAAAGCACTACCTGACATTCTTGAATCCAATACAGAATAACAACGCACAACCTGACATTCTTGAAGCCAATACAGAATAACGCACTACCTGACATTATTGAAGCCAGTACAGAATATCAACATTGTGAATTACATCTTCCTTTAATTGTTTTGGATGAGGAGGAACATTATAACAATAAAAGAAAATGTCATAAAAAGTCAAATACTTATTTTTCTGCCAACTTGTAAATCATCAAGATATTACACACACCCGTAACTTTCGTTGTTTATTAACGCTGCACTATTCTAGCTACATATGACAGCATACTGTAAATACCCGAGCCGGACAATCCAATGGGTGATGTAATGGGCACCATTCCAAGCCGTCGGGGTTTTACGTTTGTTTGTTTGTTTGTTTGTTTGTTTTTTAACCCCGCACTCTGCAATATTCAAGCTATATGAAGGCGGTTTGTAAATAATCGAATCTGGACCAGACAATCCAGTGATTGACATGAACGTCGATGCACACAATTGGGATACGATGACACGCATCTTCCAAATCAGCGAGCCTGACCACCCGATCCTGTTAGTCGCCTCTTTGGACAAACATGGATCCTAACCCGAATCTTCACGGATGTCGGGGTATAGGGTTGCAGTCAAACAAGTCAACGATCCTGACCATCGACCAAGTCGCCTCTCACGACAAGCACAGGTTCCTGGAGATCTACCACGGAATATACCCGGCGTTACAAACCTGCATTCATGTATTCAATGTCCATGGTTCTTAGCAATTTTGTAACCGAATTTGTGGTCAGTATTTATTCACATGTTATTGTAAATAGATTCTGTGTAAGTGAAATTTGCTAAAATAAGCATATTGTATATAAAGTACATATGAATGCTTGGTCTGTTTAGGGGCGGCCGGGTAGTCTAGTGGTTAAAGCTTCGCTCGTCACGCCGAAGACCCGGTTTCGATTCCCGACATGGGTACAATTTGTGAAGCCTATTTCTGGTGTCCCCCGCCGTGAGATTGCTGGAATATTGCTAAAAGCGGCGTTTAAGGTTTATGACTTAGACTTGTATAGATCTGATTGAGGAAAGTTAAACAAGTTCTCCGGACATATTTTCACATATTCATCTCAAGTTGATATTTATTTGTTGGATTAAATTATACCGAAAGTTTATGAAAAGAAACATATATCAGGGACAATAAAATAGAGTTCTAGTTTTATGGTCTGCGTATATTAACCATTCGGAGATTAACTGATTTTTATAATGAAATTGTTTTGAATTGGTAAAAATTGATAGTTCTATTAAATTATACCGAAAGGTTATGAAAAGAAACATATATGAACCATTCAGAGATTAACTAATGTTTATAATGAAATTGTTTTGAATTGGTAATTGTAAGTTCGATTAAATTATATATTAAATATAAAAGTTTATATTTATGAAACACATATCAGAGACAATAAAATAGATTTCTATTTTATGGTCTCTGCGTATAAATTGGATGCGTTTATTGAATTGGTAATTGTAAGTTCGATTAAATTATACCAAAAGTTTATATTTATGAAACATATATCTGAGACAATAAAATATACATTTCTATTTTATGGTCTCTGCGTATATTAACCATTCAGAGATTAACTGATCTTTGTAATGAAATTGTATTTGGCAATTGGAAGCAACAATGTAGGCACATGCTATAGCCATGCTACCGTATGTATGTACAGATAATAACAGTAAATATGACTTTGTGGAATGAAAATGAAAACGGGTGATATTCGCACAAAAGGTAGGGGTACCAGTACTACCTGGAGTCCTGACGGCTGAAGAAATACACAGCTCTTATTTGTTTAAATACAAAAATACTGTTTCTATTTTCGATATTATTTCGTCGTAAAAATGAGAATCGTATTTTTTATGTTTTGTTTCAAATATATTTTCACGACTGATTCATTAGTGATATACTGGAGGTATAAAACAGTCTTGCTTTTCAGTTAAATTTGAATGCGCGGAGCCACGAATATAACTAGCGAGTTACGCTATCACTTTAATGTATTCCCACCTGTGCAAAAGATCTAACGGTAAATCGGGACTTGCTCAAATGGTAAAAATAATAAAATGATAATAAAAAATTTGTTTAATTAAATTACAAGGCATTAGATTTAGCGAAATGTAATGGATGGCATTTCTGAAGGTACCCAACATAAACTGGAAATCATATTACGAAAACTGAATCTCTAAGAGACATTTGTTCGTGTTTGTTTTGAACGATACCAACTCTACCGGTTTTTAAGATTGATTTACATATCAAATGTTTAAACTATCCGGAGATTAAACAGAACACTTTTCAAACCTAATTGATAAGCTGAACGCGATAATCATTAATTGTACGAACATTTTCAATGCAAGTAGACGGGAAGTTGATAACAAGATCACGTCTCGGCTGTACACAAAACTGATACCGACCAATTGCTCAGGTGAGCTAAAAATTGGTTTTCAGTGACTGTCTATGGTTCAATGCCACCCAATGAACATATGAAACACATTCAAACCTTTTCCAAACACCACAAAAATACAGTTGAATCAGAACATGCAAAAATGCAAAAAGAACGAGCATAATATATCTATTGTAAATATTCTTTGATATTTTACTGTAAGGCTTCGTAACGATAAAAGGTAAAGAAAAAACTTTCGTTTAACGTCCGACTCCTATGGGATTCTGAACTTTCCACCTGAAGTTATTTGAGGGTGTTGACATTATTGTCTAACGTTGCAGAAACTACCCTCACTCAGTGTTGCACAGAACCTTATGCTTACTAATAGGTAGATAAGTACCCTCCATACTTAAGCATGTGATAATTGTAAATGTATGTGATGAAGATGGCTGGTTCAGTTACATGTGATGAACTTCAATTTTATATAATATCAATGAAGATATGTAGCTGAGAGTATTAATACACAAACATTATAATGAACTATATTTACATGTTATTGAAATCAATCGACAATAGCAGATGTAATCATAGATTTGATATTTGATCTACGATGGTGCAAATTATATGGTAAATAATTGTAAAATTTGAATTCAATTATTGAATCCCATTTCAAAATTTACACTTTCAGTTATTTTCATTTCAGTTAAATTATATGTGTTTCATTTAATTAAATAATGAGTACTTTTCTTCTTTAATATGTATTTACGAGTACTTTGAAAAATGGTTTGCGAACTGACTGATAATGCTAAATAGATCATTATTTATATGCATTCAAATTTATAATATTATAAAATATGATGCATAAAATTTCTCAATATTTTGGTTTACATGTCGATAACAATACCACCTAGAATATATTATTTTGGCTTTTGCATCTTATTTGTAATAATAGATTTTATGATAATTATATTGCTAGTAATAGCTTTGACGCAGAGGAACATTGTATATTTGAAGGCGGAGCATTATAATTCTCATATAAACAAAACAATTTGAGAACAATATCTGAGAAAAGATAATGAATCATTAACTAAACGATCAAAGGATTAAATAAAATTTGACTTACATGAAAATAGCTCACCTGGCAGCGCGTCTGAGCCGGCGGACATTGGGTATTGAGGGGGTTGCAGGGCGTGTACGGCAGACAGGGAGGATGGGTACATCATCTGTGGGTAGTGCCCGGGGGTGCAGGTGACGCTGTTACATGGACACAGGTGGGGTCGGGCAGGGCTCGTCGGGGGTGAGCGTTTCGGGGATGATGCTGAAACAAAAAAGATATGAAAATAATAAATAAACTGAAGGGCAAAAGAAAGTATACCGAGTTTACATTTTACGTAATTACAAATTGAAAAAAACTGATAAAATTATATGTCCTGACCATCACTCATTACTGCAACAGTTTGTAAAAGATAATATGTGGCTGGTTAGTTTTGTGTAAAAATAAATTGGTTCAATGAAAACTGGAGTCAGAAGTGAATTTGCAACCACATAACCTAAACCATGTTTGAAATGAAAATTTGTGCCGAAATTTTTTTTTTTTATTGATTTTCAGATAGATAGATAAGATACTCATCAACAGTTTTGTATTGCGCGAAATGTTTTATCTTTTAATTTTTTGTTTTTTTTACATCAAATTATGTTTTAAAAAATAAAACCATGCAGAGATATTCTTTGGAGGATGCCTAAGCGCCATTATAGTTAATCTTTTTCATGTAATATCACTAACTTAAGATATTTTCAATTGAAAATCAAACATGATAGTATCAACTTAGAGGTATAGTTTATCTAGAAAAGAATACCATAATAACATGATGCACATGAACTAAAACATTCAATGAGATTATGTATATTGATTCTAATGATTAATATACCAGCATTATGTCAATGCAAACATAATATAATAATGTTAATATAATAATTGGCAAGTTCTGTTATAGTAAACTATAAAGAAATATTTGCGCTTACAATGAAAAGGTATATAATTTGATATATATCTGTTAGCTGTCAAAAATACAATAAATAGTTAGTGCATATACTTCTTGAAAGTAATGTCTGGAAGCAAGTAACATGAAAAATGAGAAACATGAGAAATGTTTTTGTTCTATTTATTCTTCATGATATCGCATAATTACCGCATTCAGAAGGTGATCTCGCCTTCTGTGACATCAGTATCTGTGAATGATATTGAATAGTCCACGCTACCTACATACCAGGATCGCTTATTAAGCAACGTGTATGTTTTGGGAACCATCTCCGATAATTGAAGTCTGTATTCCACAAACAACAATTAAGGATAACTGGTTGTATTTAAAAGTGAGATATATTAATTATTTTATTATAATAATTAATTCGAGACGATAGAGATACATTTGTATCATTTCAGTGTCTGATTTTTTACCAGTATCTAAATTGTTTGGTTCATTTTTCTCCTTGATAATGGATGTGTGTTTATTTTGGAAAATGGAATGTATATTTTAAGAAATATATTTTAATGACGATAAATGTCTCTCAAGTTTTGTAAACGTATTATCATATAAAAACTTGTAAAAATGATTATTACCAATCTGAAACATGTTGTGAATGCTGATTGTCTGAGTCGGCGACACACGCGTCCATTGTGACTTAGTTGATGACATTCAAATGTCAACGCACAAGGGATAAAATATTATCATACAGAAAAAATATATTGTTCTAAGATTGCAAAGATTTTACTGTGTAAAAAAATGTTTACACTTTATTTATCACGTTTACACGTTGTAAACGTCTTTTTATAAGGAACAGAACTTACAGTAAATATAGCAGAACATTTCTAAATGTAGACATATATGTACATTTAAGTATTAAAACTTTGTTTGTGACAATCTGCGTTCACGGCCGTCCTATTTAAACTTATGTTGCATTGTTTTCAAATAAATAATATTCTACATAGTATGTGTCCTAAATGTCAGTTTAAACTTAATAAATTGACAAACCTTTTTAATTTTATGGCAAGTCTATATCCTATTTCGTTTCAGGTGAATATTCAAATTTGAACGTATGCTAATTTACGTGTCAGATGTCAGAACAATTGGATATGTCACAATTACCCCGGCAATGTGTTTCAGATAGCTACCAGCACGAACGCCCGGCCACCCTACACGTTGTCTATTGCTGTCAGCTGGGGGGTCCCTATTTCCCCCTCCATGTACCTGATACCCCTTTCCTGGACTTGTTTGTATCGCGGAAGAGGATGTTGACCGCTCAGGTGTTTGGCGGAGGGATTTGTTTATGATCATTTAAAGTGGTGTTGACATATGACTTAAATACAGTGGACGAATTCCTCGTGGGGTGTTAGCGCTGACGTATAGCAGAAACCACAGTGGACGGTTGTTCTTGTCAATTAGTATCCCTGAGAATGACATTTATATTGTACAGCTTTGTGGGATAGACCGCCTAATCAAAGAGTCAAATGAAAATAAATAAAGCTTTAATATTTAAAACATATTGTACATAATATGAACCTTCTATTAAAATCTTTATTTCATGAGAGTTATAAGAGTGTAAATGTGACTACGACTTTAAGGATTTGTTTATTAATTGTAGTGAAAACTTTCAATTTTATTTTATTTACGATAATATTTCAAATGGTTATAGGCAAATATAAGGCTGCACCACAAATAATAGCGTCTTTTATTTCAAAGAAACTTGGAAAATTAGCGTGTGAAAATCTTAAATTATACACCATCATGTGTAACGCATTTGCTCGTTATTACGTCATCCTTTTCGCAGAGCTTCGGTTAATACTGATTTAATCTCATATTTAAAAGTTTAAAAATCTTTCTTTCTACATAAATTTTATCATTTTTCATTTCTACTTCAAAACACAATTTACTGATGAGCTTATCATGTGCCAATTGTATTGTCGTCTACTACAAATGCAAAACACAATAAATGACCTGAACTCACCTTTTTCACTTTTATCCTTTCCGAAATCATCAGATAAAATTCGGGTAATTCCAAATTTGAGCTGATTAGATGTTGAACTGTCACTTTGCCCTCTCCCCTGCTCGCCTGACCCCCGGGCCGTGAAAGCCGACATCCCCGAGGCACACAAAGCCTGGAGGGGTGCGAGCCCCGATGAACTTGTGGGTGGGGGCGATGATGTTCTGGGTGACATCCCGTATGTGAACACAGGGGTGGAATAATGGTGAGTGATAGTTCCCGAGTTTGGATGTAATATTTCCGAAATATTAAAAGAATGTCCTTTTTTGATGAGTCCGGTGACGCTGTCGCCAGTGAGGTGTGGCCAGAAGGCGGCACCCCCGGGCACACAGCTGATGCAGTTGCTGAGGTACATCCTCTTTCTAGTCCTCCAACTTCTGTTTTCTTTCGTAGCCCGGGGCATTTACATTTACCCTAAACGCCGAGATGAAACTATTTAAGTTTTCGACATTTCATATAAACACTTGTAGTGGTGCAATGATGGGAGCCCATTGGTCGCAACCATTTTGGCACCAAGGGGGGTCGGGTCGGTGCGTGACGTCACGAACCTCTCCACATGCCACTGGCTTATTCTATTCTATATTATTCTTCTTATTTCGATCATTAATACAACAGAAATTGAATATTCTTTCAAACAGGAATTGTAAATTGTAAAATAGAATTAAAAAAGGTAAGTAAGTGCATTAATTTGCCCCTCCAAAGAAACGATGCTCACGTCCCCATATGTGAGAGTACCTCAAATTGTTATTGTGTTCCTGCTCGCTGATTGGTCAGTTGGAAGTCATTACGTTTTATGAAGGCAAAAGCTATCAATTAGGGTGTAATTATCGCCTTATCAGCGGCAGAAAGCCAGACCACCTCCGTGTGAAAGTTTCGTGCAGGAGTTAATTGTATCGGAATAAAATTTACGTCTTCGTGGATTAACCAAGACCAATGTCCTGCTCTCATTATGAAGACTTGGTGAAATATATAGGAGCCTGCTAGCCCGACGATGACAATATTGAGAAATAAGAGAACTTTATAATCTCTCTGACATAAAAATGTCCTATGCAAATGTAAACAAAAGATTAGAACAGCTCGTTGAATCTGATAAGTCCACTGAAATGACTCGCCACATACATCGTCACACAGCTGGGCTGAAACGTTGGCATATTTCCTACGAGCAGGTTCCATCACTCGAAGTGTGGGTGGCTGAACGTCTATTTTAAATCTCCAGAAGTATGCCAACCTTTGTGGGGTATAAAATAGTTTATCGGATTCTTTGTGAAAGAAAATCATGTTAAGTGGTGACGGTGTCAAGGAGAATGATAATATCAATCTATTCTTGAATAAAATATGTTTTATATACCATCTCTTTTTACATATGCGTGTTTAACCTGAGAGGGACACTTTGAAAAGTAAACTTTTCTTAAATGCATTCAAGAATATCCTATTATTGAAACATTGCGCTATCAACATTTATTAAAAAACCCGAATTCCAGTGAAGATTAAGTTGTGTTTACCAAGTAAACTATCACGAAACCAATATTACTTCGCTTCAACTGCTTGAAACATTACAAACCAGAAAAGACAACAAATTAAAGCTAGATAAATATTTACATAGACCATATATTAAGTGTGGATGTACATTATCACCCTGACACGATAACACTGCGACACTCACCCCTTCCCACTGACATTACAACATAACACTCCGGGGGGACGTGACCTCCCTCCCCCTACCCCGGGGTTGGGATAGTCAAAATGCCCACCCGTACTGAAGCGTGTAATTCCGAGCCGTTGTGGGGGTCGGGCAGCCGGCGTGGGGTCGGGCTGAGAGAGGTGTGTGTGTCCCGGTGGTGACAATGCTGGATGTATCTGGTCGTGGTGTTTGCTCATCTCGTGTTATGACCTTGTTGCCCTCCTGCTAATATCTGTGTGGAAATTCTATTAATTTTAATTACATTACGTCTAAATTATAATTATGTTGAGGGTGTCATGGGCGCGACTTGCTTAAAACCAGCCACATCAATTCTTTATTCATGTACATGTGTAGGCCAGCGGCCCATGGTACAATATTTGGTCCATCATTAACATTTATAGGCTTAGTGTTTGGAGTCTAACATTCATAGCATGGTATATAAAAGTTGCAACATTTCTAATAACAGTTTCTTTTTTTACCGCCATAAGCATATTGAATTTAGCAAGAGTAGGATGTACAAAATACTTCTGTGGTAAATACTGAAGACGAAGTTCATCATAAGCGTTACAAATTAATAAAAAAATGATATTCATTCTCGACATATCTTTGATTGCAACTATTGCACAATCTCTGCCACATACGAAACAAAGTTCTATAAAATGATATATACAATTTATGTAATGGTAAGCGTTATTTGCAATGATTGTACACATCTTTCTCAAGGACATAACATAACAAGAATATAGATCAAGATATATATTATTCTGTTCATATTTTTAATTTAATATTTAATCATATATGATGAATGCTGTCAAATTTAATTCCATAAAATTTGGAATTATCAATCAATTTTTTGGTAGAATACATATAAATGGTTTCCAAATTGAAAGTGACACACTTGTATTAGGTGTATTTGCAAGAACTGACATGAATTCATCAACATCTCACCTACTGTAATAGGTAACACACAGCAATACATATTGCAGATCGATTGATCATTCGTATTGATTTTGTTTTTATGATTAAATAATTTAATTTAATAATATTCTGACTTTTAGTAACCTAAAAATATTCTTGTATTTTGGTAACCCATCGTTATATTACCCAATGTCAACACAAATTCTGCAGATTTATATTTCAGGTTCTGTTTAACTCATTATTTAATCAAATATCACAACAACGTGTATTTATGTTACACCATCATATGCAATATTCATCAGAAATACACATTTGTACCTTCAGACCAATCCATCCTGTCATATGCAATGAGATAAGAAGCGACATAAATGTGTAATCGTTGTAAACCAATTTTTTAAACAATTTTAGAAGAACTTTAGAATAAAGTTTAAATATCAAAAGTAACTCAGAATATTTGTTTTTAATTCAAAAGTTCTAATGCGCGTCAACTTTTAAGCATACGTAAATGTGTGAATACATGACACCTTTATATGTATAAAAAAACTTCCTTTATTCTTTTTTTTTTGTTATCCATAGAAAAGTGTCATGTATTCATGTTCTTCCAACTTCTACATGATTATCAAAGTCAACGTATATGCACCTGTTAAACTATTGTTTAGTCGTTTTATACAACCGAAAGCAAATTCTTGCGGAATCAAGAATCAAGAATTTTATTGCTCAAAATACCCACATGGGAACTGGTACAAACATAGTACATATATATGGCGCAGTGATAAGAACATGGCAAATGATATGCACAGCATAAATGCATGAAAACATGATGAAAATGAAAATAAAAGTGACAAGAAAAGGTGTGAAGGACACATTTTCTTATTCTTAAATTGAAACTGTTTCCAAGTTCATGTTTATTATTTTGAGATTAGCTACAGTCAATGAAATCTCGTTCCTTATCGAACAATAACATTATGCCGTCATCGTCATTACGAGGTGGTGATCGGCAAATCTCGTGAATTAACGTTGACATTTATTGGTTCGGTGTGGCCTACATGTGGAAGGCATTCTTGCTATCGGAAGGCGGTCCGTCACCTCGGCTTTATGAGATGTTTAATTACCAATGAGCTAATCACTGAACGATTAATTAGTTTTAACGGGTTGTGTGAGATAAGGGACAATGTCATTGTGAATGGGATTGAGATGGGATGGAGTTGACACGTGAAAGTTTACGTTCATCGAGCTAACGGGAACCTACGTGATGAAAACTGCCAGGGTTTTGTATAGACCCAGTATCTTTATAGTGGCCCATTAATGTTGGTTTAATAAATATCTTGTCTCGTGTTAAGTTTCAGTGTAATTAATTATCATTTGATAACAATTTGTTGAATTCTCAATGAAGTCTTCTTAAATGATACGGACGGTATTGTGTTTACTGCAATAAAACAAATAGTATTGTTTGAGTGTATGTTTTCCTGAATGGTTTTTATCAAGAGAATTAGAAGAATTTTAAGTAGTATTTTTACTAAAACTAAACAATAAATGCTATCACAATGATGATAGGTGTTTCCTCGTTGCCAAAATAAAACAACCCAGAATTTTAGAATAATACTAACTGTTTTTTATTTTGTTTTATTTCTCATACAATAATGTTTCTTCCTTCTGAATAGCTGGAAATTGCTGATGCGATTGTAAGCAGCGGTATCGGTCTCTCTCTGTTACCGAATAATCAGCATTGTTAATCAGCATTGTTGATGGCATCTCGAAATTGTATAAGATTTTGCAAATTTGCACTTTGACATCAGATTCATGTCAAACCTTCAACAACACTTTCAGACATTTTTGTTCTCATTCCTTCAAAGGTAAACATGTCTATCTAACGTCATCTGTGCAATGTCCATTATTGCAGGTCTCTACCATTCGGCCAACCATGCTCCCTGGGACACGATACAGAAAAAAAATGGCACTGGCTAAATAAAATGAATAATAATTATATCTTGATACATCCTCAAACGGACATATCTGGTTTGGGGAAAAGATTCCAGTTAAATGATATGTAGCGAAGTAGTGACGTCATTCCACCCTGTGTGTACTAGGAGAAGACCGCACTTTACTCACAATAAAAATGCAACCTTCATTTTCTATGTCCAGTTGTTCATTTTTAGAAATCCGTATATAGGAGCCTGTACCCTTGGGATATAAAAAAAAATGTTTTAAAACCTTTATCCCTAAAATATGCCTGAATCAAAAGTGTTCTAGCAAACTGCAATGGGACCTGACTATAACAGCTTCTTAAAAGTTCTTTCTCATCACTTTTATAAACAAATTTTGTAGGTAGGTCGATATTGTATATCCTTAAATAATGGATAGGCAGTCCCACAGCATTGAGAAGTTGACATCCAGGTTTAATGAATAACATTCCTTTTATAATGCCACTTTCTAATAATCACACTTCTATGAATGATGAGACTGACTGACTTTATAGGGGTAACCTATAACATATTCTTGATTAAGTACTAAGCTATAATACAGGTGCGATTAAAGTCTCTTGGGCACTTTTGTCAGAGATAGACAGTTTGTCGTTCGCTGATTCAAGACATACAATTATTTTCTCCGAAAGAAGTATCAACACAATTACTCGGGGCCCTACATCACATCCCGGACAATGAACTATTTATTATTTTGTTATGATACAAATTTATTTTTGTTTCCAGAACATTTTTAAAAAATCCAAGTCCCAGTTAAAGAAAGATATTATCAGATAAACATTTCTGAAATTCCCCTTCAATCACATTTCACATGTAAATATCACTACATTTGGTACCAAAAAGTTCAAAATCTGCAAACGTTGAAAGAATAAATTCTAATTAATGGCAACAC